CCTTGGTGTTCTCTAGATGGTCAACTAGGCGACCAGGTGATGCCACTATAATATGAGGCTTCTTAGAGAGGGACATAGCCTTATACAAGGGAAATACTAATGACTTTCAGCCCAATGGTCCTCACCTGTGTGACCATGTCGAGACCACCAACGATGGTGGCAGTAGTGAGGTTAATGCTGGCACCAAGACCTTCGAACTGCTGGCCAGTCTAAGCACTTACACTTAGTCCGGCCGGTATTGGAAGCCTTTTACCTGCACGCAGAGCTCTCGAGTGGGGGCGAGTACGCAGGCCCAGGTTAGTTTCCGATGAGGAGCCGCATCGAGAAGCTTCTGGATTATAGGAATAGCGAACGCTCCTGAGAAGAACATCATCGACGATATTGGCGGGAATACGGCCTATGAGACCATGCCGCTCCAGAAAAAGGTATCACCGAGCGCAACCCTAGAGCGAAATATCGCGGCATTTCCGTTCAGTGGACTACTACCGGTTTTCCCACTGCCTGTCTCTGCCAGGGCGATGAGGTCCCTTCCTTGTAAAGCATAGGGAATTGTCTCCTCCTGGATCTTGGAGGGATGCTTCCATTGTAGGACGTCACATGCCTTGCAGAGCTCAGGGCATACACCTAGGGACTCGAAGGTCACAGGCTCTTCAGCGTTGGAGTCCTGAGTGGAGCCTGTGAGGCTTTCAGGTGTGGCGGAATCGGGATTTGACGACGCTGATTCTGACATGGCAGCAAGGAGAATGAGATGTCCTACAAATTTCAAAGGTTCCCAAATCCATACCCCACCTTTCGTCCTGAAGAGGCATTGTATATCGCGCGCGCCCAGGTAATCTATTCGCGGAGTTGGGTACATTGAACATCAACCAAAATGTCTTTGCTCCCTGGGCAGAATCCTGCAACTCGACAGGGCCTCACAGGAGCTGCCGGGTACCCGCCTCCACCAGGCTATACCGCGGGAAAGGGTCGAGGTGCTGGTGGCTTCCACGTTGCCACTCGAGCAGAGTTCGCCGGGCTCCCGCAGTTCCCACCCATCGCTCCTGGCACTCTCGGGTCCCATAGCAGGGCCTTCCAGAAAAGCAAGTTGGCTAGAGACTCGACGGCCGGGGGTGCCCAGCATTCGATTCATGGGAAGTGGGGAGCGCCCCCGCCCGGATACATCCCTGGACGCGGACGAGGCGCTACCGGGTTCACTGGAGGTGTTAGTCGTGATGATGCTAGTAGTA